GAATATCCATATCAATTCCTCTACCTCAAGGCTCAGGGAATATCTTGGACAATGAAGAGAAGAATATGAGAGCCAAAAGGTAAAAAGCTATCACTAGACATAAGATGGACAATGCACTCAAGAGCTCATTGTAGCTATAATCACCGGCATAAGCCCTGCACAAAGCCAAATAAAGGATATCAGTCGCCGGGCAGTTGTGACACATGGTTTTAATCCCAGCACTCAGAGAGGCAGAGGTAAGTGGATCTCTGTGAGTTCAAAGCCATCTTGGTCTACAGAGCGAGTTCCAGGACAGCCAGAGCTACACAGAGAAACCTTGTCTTGGATAAACAAACAAAAAAGATTATCAGTCACCATTCCAACAGGCAACATTAACTGCACACAGAGTTAAGAGGGAGAAAGAAACATGAACGTGAATAAAGGGATGTGTTAGGAAGGTATCTAGGGGAGTGGAGTGGAGAGTTTGGAGTGGGTATGACCAAGACTCATTTCATACATGTAGGAAGTATCAAAGAATAAATAAAAACTACCATAGAAAAGCGATGAGTATTAGCTTCTGAACATATAAAACTACAGGTAGTCTGTGGGTCCCATACATAGAAAAATCTGAGCTCGTACTTAAGGCAGAAGAAACAAGGTGCCTGATGCAGAGTCTAGTGTTCAAGAATTCATTTTCCATCATTCTCAAGTAAGGTGCTACCTAGGACACTTGGATATATTATAATATAGAAGTCATAAAACTTCCTAAGTCTTTGATAAAGAGCTACAGACAAAATGCTCCAACAATGCTCAACACAAGGCCAGAGCCCAACAGGCTAGGAATTGGTGCACATAAGCCTGTGACAAAGAACCTGTGACCCCACACACTTAAGAAGCTAACACAGGAGGGCTGCAAGCTAAGAGACAGCCTTGGAAACTTAGAGAGACCCAAAGTCATAAAAAAAAAAAGTAAAAAGAGGACAGGGAACACAAAGCCACTTATCCAGTATGTTCAAGGCCATCATTTCTTGGATGCAATCCCGAGCACAAATAAACTAAAATATATAAACTACAAAACAACTTTGACCATTTATTAAATGTGATTGTTAATTTCATTCAACAATTTGACTGAGAAAAGGCTGCTCAAACAGCTGTTAAGCTCTGATTGTATCTGTGTGGGAGCTAGAGTTTCTGGAAGGGGTGAGCAAAAGTGGTCAGACTAAACAAAGACTTGGCCTCATCAACATGGAGACAGTAACATGCAGTCCACCCAAGGTCTCATGAGAACAGAAAGACACAATTTTCCTTCTTTGAAGATGGAACACCCATTGTCTTCATTTGGTCTCAGTTTCAGTGCAAACTATCCTGGCTCTCTGAACTTTGGGTTTTGATGGAAACAATATCACAGACTTACTTGCCCCTCGCTAGCAGATAGCAGGTCATGGATGGACAGCTTAGAAAGGCAGGGAAGACTAAGGGACAGGGAAAATGAGAGGAGTGTCTCATTTATGGGTCTGGATGAAGACTCAAAGCAGTTGGGAATCAATAATTTTAGCACAGCTAATGACATATGCTCTGAAGTTTGTTAATGAGGAGATAATATTCATTTATATACAGATACTTAAGAATAGTAAAATAGCTATGAAACATGCTTCAGGCATACATATGCCTCAAAATATTTCCTTATTCCTTTCCCAGATATTATCTGGGAGTCTCACAAGGAGGACTATTAACTGCTGTTGACAGTGGAAACATCTTAACTAGCTTCCCATGAAATTCTTGTGATCTTTGGTTTTACCATAGCAAATGCAATTCATCCTTTATCTTTTGTCCCCATATCTCAGGAACCACCCAGTGATCTCATTTAAGGTCCTTAGCAACTTTGGGAAGATGAAACTTCAAAACCCTCAAATACATGAGAAGCCCACACCCTTTCCCTGAGTCCTTTGCTACTAACCCAAGACCCAAATACCTCTTATAAACTCCAATTCTGTGTAATACTGACTTGCTCTAAACTTCTTTTGGCAGCAAAGTGACCTAGAGGAGACTTCTGAAAGGGTGGTAGCAGGCAGTTCCATGGATCTATGTCTCTGGCCTGTCTTCCTACCACTCGTGAGCTGAAGTTCTTCCTGCAGTTTATACCTGTATGTACTATATTGCTTTAAGCAAATGTGAGGGCTAAAATCGTAAGTTTCAAATACTGCACCTAAGAAGCTGATAAAACAAAAATGCCTCTAACCTGTAAGCCCCTTGCTAAAGAACAGAGTGTTTCCGAAATGCTGGAGACTATTGCTTATGTAAGCAAGCCACGTGTCTTCTCTCTCCTAAACAACTTCGTTTGACCCAACTGCACAGGTTGTGCTTGCTCACACGGGAGAGACACAGGCAGATAGATGCTTTTCCTGACTGGGGACAGGAATAAAGTACACCAGGACATCAGCTTTCCCCTGATTGGATGGAAATGGCAAGCAGGAAATACATCAGGATAAATGTTTTCCCCTGATTGGACCTGGAGGGAAATACTTAACTTTATTGGTCCTCTTTTATAAACCTCTGCAAAATGGGACTTATCACCATTTTCTGGGAACCCCAGAATGGACCTGGGCAGAGTTCATCATCCTGGCCAGTATTTAATTAAAGCTTGGTAGTGGTCTTAAGCTAGAACGTCTGAATTAACAGGTAACCTTACTTGATATACTTGGAAAAGGTAAGACTTCTGCTAACCACAGTATATGTAATGATTTACATGTGTGTGAGTGGCTAGAATACATGTGAATGTGTGCGTGTGTATGGGCCGGATCCTGGGTGTCATGATCAGTTACTTTCCACCTGACTTTCCAGGCAAGATCTCTCACTAACCGTGAGCTCACCCAGGCTGACTTGGCAGTGAGTGCAGAGGACACTCCTGTCTACCCTGCCAGCACTGGGCTTAGAGGAGAACACTGTCATACACTGCTACATCTCACAACTTCAAAAACCCAGAAGTAAAACTCTGAAAGTCTTCTTTCTCCTGCTCCTAAAGGTACTTCAATTATGAGTGTTGGCATTTAGTACAAGTCACGGAGAAGGCAGGAATCCTGGGTGAAGAAACATACATGTGGAGTTGGAATACTATATATAGCAAGATTCCAAACATGTACTGCAGTAAAAATAGCTTCAATAGAGATATGACCCACAGGAGATTATAAGGGACAGCCTAGAAGAATGCCTCTTGAATTTAATTCACAACACAAGTAACTGGGACTCTTATGAAAACAGACTCTGATTCAGAGGGTGGTACTGAAGACTAAAACAGCGTTTGAGGAAACTATGTGACTGCTGGCCTGGATATACACAGAGTATGAAGGCCCCAGAGCTGTAGACCTATGTAGGCCCAAAACATCAGAATCTCCATTGAGTTCGTAGAAATACAAGCCTTAAGGAATATGGAAACTCTAAAGTTTCCAACTAAATCAACTGCTTACACCTAGTCAGAGCAGATCACTCTCTCAGAATAAAATAAAACACTTTGAAAATACAATGGTAGAAACTATTACCTGAATAAGAAAACAATCAGCTTAAACTGCTTGTTTTTGGCCATGTGCTGGCTATAAGCTGTGGAGAAAGTATTACAACACGGAGAATTGGCAGTTGAGACACTAAACTACTTACTGCTCATATCACACCACCGCTCTACGTAAGCAATGCAGAACTTACTTGTAAATAAAATCAAATTTAAGTTTTCTATTTCTTTGTGTTAAAGACATAAACAGCCACAGTATGGCTTAGCCAGCAATTCACAAAGAAATATTTACACATTGCCTGGCTGATAATGTAAATATATGCCAGCTTTTTGATTTATGGTTATAGATTAACTGTTTACAAACACAGAAACAAATTATATAACATTAATGGTTTGAAACAAAATACTCTTGAAGAGAAACAAATCCGAGGGTAACTTCAAACAGCCTCACAATTAGAGGAGAGCAAGCTCAGGTTTCCACATGGGGGGCCACTGATGGCCAACTGTTCTCCTGAAACTCTAAACCAAAACTATGCATCTGGGTCTACTGCTCTTCCCCACCAAGCAAGTTTACTTCTCAGCCAAAACTGGAGCATATCATTTTAATTTTGATGGATATAGTCGTCAGCTTCCTGTGGCCTCGGAGTCAGGGGGAGCATTGCTGGTGTTTAAGACTGTGGGTTCAGAGTGGCTATTTAACGTGGGGGTTCTCAGGCAGGGGCAACTTTATCCCCTGTCATATTTGACAACTTCAGGAGATACTTTTCATGGTCACACTCAAGAGGTAAAGGAGAGGGGACAGTGTTGCTGGCATCTCTGTGGTGTAGCTTGGGTCCTACTAAACAAAGTCTAAAAGGCTGAAACGCAAGCATCAGCTGACCCGTTCTGCCAGTGTGGTGCTGAGCTTGAGAACTCCGACTTAGAACACAGAGCCTGCGGAACGCAGAGTTAATGGTCTTTCTGTGTGCTAGTTACATTCCCAGCACAGGAAGAGACAGTTTATGGTTATTAAATATGCTACATGGGATCTTAAAGGGTCTAGTGATGAAGCAGGCGCTGCCACATACATGATCACTAAAGCTGAAAAAAACACTGGAGTCATTGTTAGGAAAAATAAGTTTCCTTTTCTGTTTTGTTTTACCAATTATCATGCCAATTTCCCTCTGACAGGATAGTGCTGAGGGTCAGGGACAGTTTTCTAAGCTGTAAACAGAGGGACCTTCACAAACTTTTATTGAAATATCAGTTTCTACTGTTGTCCTTCCGATAGTATTGATGCCCCACACTTAATAAACTGAAGTCTTTTATAAAAATTAAAATCAATGTAGCATAATAAGTGGTATTTCACAAGCAGGAAACAAAATAAAATGCAATTATTTTCAAAATACGAATCAGAGACCTCAGCGGCCTCCAGGCATCTGCCCTCCTAAAAGGGCTGAGATTTAACTGTCCTGCAAAACCCTCAGCTGGCTCACATTTCCTAAAGCACAGGCGCTGACAGTCACAAGGTCGCACATACCCTTAATCATTGATTCAGCTGCATACAGATCTTGTTTGTAGGTCACCTAAAGGACAGATAAACCTCATTAGACTCAACAGAGCAGGCAGGAATGTGAAAGCAATAAAGCACTGCCCCCAAGGAAATTCTTCCTTCCTCCAGAAACCATACACACACAACACAGGCAATTTCCAAATGAAAGTAGCATTAGGCATTCACATTAAACCAAATTCAATTTCAACAAATGACAAAGATTCGAATCTTATATCTTTGAGTAAATTATGATAGCATATAGCAGTGGTTACTGAAATATGATTAGTACACCTAGGGATTTATAATCAAAGAAAATGTGTAAGTGTTCACGTTACTGCTTTATAAGGTTTTCTACTAGAAAAGAAGGTGGGGAAGAAAGGGAGAAAGGGAAGGAAAGGAGGGAGGAGGGCTGAAAGAGGAAGGGAGTCTCCCCATAGCAAACGTCACCAGCTCCTTGCTAGGCTGAGGCTGTCAAAGACTAATTTATATTTAAAGAGACTTCTCCTGAATGGGGAAAGTCTTTATGAAACAGGTTAGTTGCACCTTGTGAGGTTTTCCTTAAAACATAGCTTCTGCAAAAAGTAATCTATGGGGTACCACAGTGTGCAGAAGAACAGTGATTTTTCCTTAATAGCCAACAGCTTGCTCAAAATTGCACCCTGCTCATCGTAAAGTATCCAGCCATGGTATGGAGGTCTAGTCTATGGCAGATCCTTCCCAGAGGCCATCCAATGAGTTCAGACACAGAACACCTGCACAACTGGTCTCCTTTACTATGGAACAAGAACATGCAGTGAACAATAAAACAGGATTAAGTAACAAGGTCCAGTAGGCCCATCAATGAAATACTCAGACAATTAAAGATGCCAATGATCTAAACCTCATTTTGACAAACGCTCACATAACTAGTACTTTCCCAGACTATTAACTTAGATTTTCTCCCTTTAAATCATCTCATACATGGATTTATACAGTTGTCTTGTTTAGCTCAGGAAGACTTGGGCACTTCTATGAATTAGATTCATCTACCGGGCCCTTCCCCTAGAGTAAGTTTGATAATTCCATACTCTTCAGAGCTACAGTACTAGCAAACTCAGAAAGGTAGATGGAAGCCTACTGGACCATTTAACTAACTGATTAAAATTAAAGGTGACATCACTGTTAGGATTCAGCTATTGCACTGGTCTGCCCCCTATCACCTGGCAGGATGCACTCAGGCAGTACCCTGGCCAGTCCAGGGTCCTATGGCTGGTATGTCACTATGTAATCTGCACATGGGTGCAAGGGTCCCTTTAAGAGGCAAACTCCACCCACTTTTGCTCTCTCTTTCCTGCTGTTCTTCTGAAGGGGCCCGGCAAGAATTTCCCTGTCTCTTTTATCTTCCTGATAAAACTTCCTTCCCATGTAAGTTCTGCCCCCACCATGAGATCTGTCTGACACCATCCCACCTCCTGATACCATTCCTAACAATCACTGTACTGTCTCTAAAGAAAGTACAATCCACTGACAGCCATGACTCTTAGCACTGCAGTTACTATTTATAGTGCAGTTCTGCTCTCCAGAAAACAAGAACAAGCTCACTCTATAAGATTTGCCAAATGGAACGTATTTGGTTCCTATGAGTGCTTACCAAAAAATGCTCAAGATGCTGCTTGAGTTAGGGGTGTGCAATGGAAGGAGCCAGCCGACCCTGTCTCTCCCCTGTGGGGACGCCACTTCAGTGAAGGACGTTCTATGAAACTGAAGAAACCTAATTTTAAACTCTTTTTAAGCTAAGGTTAATTAGATTTCTGAATTCCAAACTAATATTTGTAATTTAAAGAAATAATTTGTGTGATCATTATCTAGTTTATAGCTTAAACTCTAGACAGAAATCAAGAATATATTTAGCTATGTACTCATTCTTTTATCTTCTCCTGCTTTGAGAGGTAAACTACATTCTAAGTTCAAATTAATACTAATAGTGGATTCTTTAATTTATGTAAGTTCATCACCAAATACTAAAATAGCTTTCAGAATTCCTAAAACTTAAAACACTGCAATTACTTATGAATAAAACAATTGCTTTTTTCTTAAAGATAATATCCACAAATTAAATTTTAAAGTCTTTTAAGTTTATTTCTCCTATCTCCATATGATAGGTTATAGATGCCAACACAAAGATTAATGATTTTATTTACTCAAGTCAACATCTAGTCTGCTTTTAAGAACAACTTTAAAGCCAGGTGTAGTGGCTCTAATCTACAATCTACAATCTCAGCATTTGGAGACTGAGGCAGGAGGAGGGTGAATTAAGGCCAAATTAGTTTATATAGTGATTTGAGGTTTGCCTGGGCATGAGCTACATAGCCAGATACTAGCTAGAGGGAAAATCTGTTTTTTCCTAAATAAAACAGCTAATGTACTTCAAAGGGAATATTACTGGAAAATGTCATAATTTTAAAATGATGTGTTATTCACTTCTCTAGCTTAAAAAAAAAAAGCAAATGAGTTGTCCTTTCCTTATTTTTAAGGAAACAAAACATTACAAAAGCATCCTAACAATCAGTTTTGAAGTTGATTTTCAGCACTTCTGGCCTTTTGTGTAAGATCAAGTGTTGAAATTGATTTTGTTCTGTCAGCATGATCTGTACTTTTCCTCTGACCTTGCACAAGAACCAACTACTGAAAATAATTACGTTAAAAATCTCTTGTAGTAATGGACTAACATGTTGATGTTTTTCTCACTGACTGGCTTTTGAACTCTGCCCACTGAAGCCTGTGGAGCCCCTTGAAGATCAGTGAGGGCGGGCGGTCTATAGAGGGAGAGTCTGGCTGACCTATACCTGCCCCTCACCATTACATCTCTGTCTCCTCTGCATGGGTGTGTCTGTGCAGTGATCCCTCTGAATCATGTATTCAACTGAGAAGGTTAGCAGAAGAGAAACTTCAAGTGTGAACCAACAGACCATGTTTCCCTCAGCTCCCAACATGCACCTAGGAATACCACACATATCTTCTTAATTTTACGTGCTACACCACAGAAGAGACCTTTCCGAGCCAAAGCAAGCCAAGGTGGCCTCCACTTTCCTTGAGTAAGAGCACACTGCACTTGAAGCCCCTAGACCAACCTCATAGGATAATGGAGACATCACTCCAGTACCTGGCCAAAATAAAGAGCTGTTAATTCTTACACTGGAAAGCTATAGAATATCTATTAGACATGGGCATCGGGTCCAAGGAGAACCCCGAATGACAGGCAGTCTTGGCTTGGCTCTAGATGGACTGTGGAAAGACTGCAGCTCCATACTCTCATCATCACCTGCCAGGATGAACCATTTCTCCACCGTCATGCACCTGCCGTGTAAACCAAAGCCACAGGCACCCAGGCCCTCTCCCCTGCTCTTCAGCTCAGGGATTTCCTTTATAACCCGGGAGGTTTTACCTGTGTCCAAGCTTCTCTCTGATCCCAGAGAGACAGCACAGGCTGTTACCAGTCTAACCCTCTCCTCTCTGCCCCAGAGGAGTAGCCATGGCTGCTTTGGACTTTCCCAGAGGCCTCGGGGTATTCTCTCTTCCATATCTATAATTTAAAAACCTTCACACTCATGGACTGCTCATTTCAGAGGTATCTCTGTACCTTTCCTGGTGGTGGGTATTTTTGGATTTCATTTCCTAGGTTGAGAAAATTGCAGGACAAGCTCAAGAATAGAAATTATATATTCACACTGAACTGTTGAGAGCAGAGCAGAAATGTGTCCACATCTTGGGTTTTTTTTTTCATTTCTTTTCTTTTTGTGTTTTTTTTTCTGGAGACAGGGCTTCTCTGTGGTTTTGGAGGCTGTCCCAGAACTAGTTCTTGTAGACCAGGATGGTCTCGATCTCAGAGATCTGCCTGCCTCTGCCTCCTGACTGCTGGGATTAAAGGCTTATGGCACCAATGCCTGGCTTTTTTCTATTTATTTATTTTTCTATTTTTTAATTTCATTTTACATTCCAACCACAGTTCTCCCACACCTCCTTGCGAACCCTCACTTCTTCTCAACTTGCCTCCTCCCAGCCCACTCCAAGTCCACTCATCCTCATGGGTAAGGGCTCCCATGAGGAGTCAACACAGTCTGGTACAATAGGTTGGGGCAGGACCAGGTCCCTCTCCCATGCATTAAGACTGAGCACCGCATCCCCCCATAGGGAGTGCGCTCCAACAAGTTAGCTCATGAACCAGGATTGTATCTTGGTCCTACTGCCAGTGGCCCCTAAACTAATCCAAGCTTCACAATTGTCTCCCAAGTCCTGAGGGCCTACTTCAGGCCCCTGAGTGTCCACAGCTGTAGGTCTAGAGTTGATAAGTTTCTACAAGTCTCTGTAGATTTCTCCATCATGGTCTTGACCACCCTTGCTCATATATATTCCCTCCTCCCTCTCTTTGACTGGATTCCCAGAGTCCAGCCTGGTTCTTGGTTGTGGACCTTTGCATAGTTGCATCAATTACTGGATGAAGTCTCTATGATGATACTTGGGATATGCACCAATCTGATTACAGAAGAAGGCTAGTTCAGGCACCGTCTCCACTATTGCTAGGAGTCTTATCTGGGGTCCTGTTTGTGGGTTTCTGGGTATTAGCACCAGGTTTCTCACTAAGTCTATAGTGGCTCTGTCTGTTAAGATATCTCTGTCATTGCTCTTCCGCAGCATCCCTCCCCTATTGACCATCCCGTTCCCTCATATTCTCATTCATCCCCTCTCCCTTACTCCCAGTTTATTCCAATTTCCCTTCCCAGTTCCACCAATGTGTCCCTCTTAGGGTCTTCCTTGTTACCTAGCTTTTCTGGAGCTATGGAAAGCAGTCCAGTTATCCTTTTCTTTACACCTAATATCCATGTATGAATGAATACATTCCATGTTTGTCTGAGTCTGGGTTAACTCATTCAGGATGTTTTTTTTTTTCTCTAATTCCATCCATTTGCCTGAAAATTTGATGAGATCATCATTTTTTCCAGCTGAGTTGTACTCCATTGTATAAATGTACCACATTTTCTTTTTCATCCTTTGGTTGAGGGCATCTAGGTTTTTCCAAGTTTTTGGCTATTATGAATAATGCTACTATGAACATAGTTGAGCAAGTGTCTTTGTGGTGAGCATCCTTTGAGTAAACGCCCAAGAGCTATATTGCTGGGTCTTGAGGTAGACTGATTCCCAATTTTCTGAGAAACCACCATACTGATTTCCAAAAGTTGTACAAGTTTGCACTACCAACAGTGGAGGAGTGTTTCCCTGACTCCACATACTCTCCAACATAAGCTGTCCTCAGTATTTTTGATCTTAGTCATTATTACAGGTGTAAAATAGCATCTCAAAGTCATTTTGATTTGCATTTCCTTGATGATTAAGGATGTTGAGCACTTCCTTAAATATCTTTTGACCATTTGAGATTCTTCTGGTGAGAATTTGGTTTAGCTCTGTACGCCATTTTTCAACTGGATTACTTGGTATTTTGGTGTCCAGTTTCTTGAGTTCTCATTTATTTTAAAGACCAGCCCTTGATCAGATGTGGGGTTGGTGAAGATCTTTTACCATTCTGTAGATTGCAGTTTTGTCTTGACAGTGTCCTTTGCCTTCTCAGTTGCAGGAGGTCCCACTTATTGTTGATCTCAGTGTTTGTGATATTACTGTTATATTCAGAAAGTAGTCTCCTGTACCACTGCGTTCAAGGCTACTTCCCACTTTCTCTCCTTTCAGGCTCAGTGTAGCTGGATTTATGTGGGGGTCCTTGGTCCACTTGGATTTGAGTTTTGTGCATGGCAATAGATAGGAATGTATTTGAGATCTTCTACATATTGGCATCCAGTTATGCCAGCACCATTTGTTGCAGATTTTTTCCATTTTCCATTGTACCGTTTTGGCTTCTTCTCAACAGTCAGGTGTTCATAGTTGTGTGGATTAATGTCAATGTTTCTGATTCAATTCCACTGATCCACCTTTATCATGAATGGGTGCTGGAGTTTGTTGAAGGCTTTTTCAGCATCTAATGAGATGCTCACATGGTATTTTTTTCATTCAGTTTGTTTATTTGATGAATTACATTGACAGGTTTCCATATGTTGAACCAACCCTGAATCTTTAGGATTAAATCCTTGGTCATGGTGGATGATTTTTTTTATGTGTTCTTGAATTTTTTATGTGTTCTTGCCACTATTTTATTGAGTATTTTTGGATCAATGTTCATGAAGGAGATGGGTCTCTAGTTCTCTTTCTTTGTTATATCTTTGTGTGGTTTGGGTATCAGGGTTACTATAGCCTCATAAAAGGAGTTTGACAATGTTCCTTCTGTTTTTATTATGTGAAACAATTTGAGGAGTGTTGGAATTCTAGTAGAAATCTACATTGAAGCCATCTGGTCCTGGGCTTTTGGGTGTGTGTGTGAG